TGAAAATAGGCAGATTTATTACAGCGGGCTTACAGAAACGAAATGTATGATCCCGTGTACCGGTGTTACCGGTCGGACAAAACTTTAGCTTTCATTAACGGGTAAATTGAGAATGCAGGAAGCGCGTTTTGATTTCACGAGAGTTATATTTTACTCTGTAACTTGCAAATATTTAATCGTCGAGAGTATAATTTTTAAACTAAATGTAACGATAATTTGCCCGCCCGTATCATAAATGTTCATTAACGTTGAAGACAATATCGGCGTATTTTGTACAGTTAATTGGTAATCCTCCTCGTGCTTGATATCCGGATACACACGTTTGATAAAATTCTGACAGACAGGATAAACGATTCGCGGCGCGAACGGATAAACGAATCGAGGGTGGAATTTGAATCGTCGCTCTGGACAGAGACATCCCGCTTGCTGCCAGTTAAAAGTGTAAATTTAATTATTTATAATGTCCACGGTATTACGTCCACTGAATTTGAATATGAAATTATGTGCATATATCTTAGCCTTCGGCTCGTCAGGTCACTAAAACACTTTGTGAAGAAGAGAATCCTCCTCTCTTCTCGGGAAATTAGCACCGCTCTCTGGCGCGACTACCCCGTGAATCTCTCTCTAATGCCCGCTCGTTCCCGTATTTTAAAACTACCTTAACAGTACTCAGGCGCACAGTTGATAATCTCCTCCTGCTTTAATTAATCCACTTGTGCGAAATGCTGGCAAGAAGTGCATTTCGACGAGATTGGCGAGCGTGCGCGAAATTCGAAGAGCGCGTAACGAGCTTATCATATTTTCATACTCTTTCCATACTCTTGTCGTGATTTCGATAAATGATCGAATTATGATAAATTTCACATTGAATAATTTCACGACACGACGAAACAAAGTAAAGGTTACCAGGCTGATTTATCTTTAGAAAAACGTGGAAAGATCAAACAGAAGATGTATTATAAATGAGATACATTCTCTTTAATCAACATCCGATAAAGTTTGTAATTTTCATTTCGTATAAAATAGAGGCAAATATAAAATACAAGAGAAATTGCCTCATAAATATTTATACCAAAATGAATAACCGCTACATAGCATTCGATAATGGAATGTAATTCGGTATTGACCGATACGGATGCTTTGTATTCATCGAATATAATTAGTAAATATACGCCATGTTTGACTGTATTGAATGCGTAACGTATGAATATTTAACACGTGACAAATCGTCGCAACAAAATTTCGCTGCTCACAAACATAGAGCACGTTTAATTTTATTTTCTATTAATATTTGAATTAGACTTTTAAACAATTTTCCCACTTTGACCATTAGGTCAAATAATATCATGTTAAAAAAAAAATTAAATTTTAATTCTTTCAATTTTAATTCTAAAGTTTTATAAAGATCACAGAAGTGTAATTGCAATAATAAATTGTGTTAATAAAATCGAAAAAAGCACGGATCTCGAAATCAGATTGCAAATTCGCACCAGTTATCGATGACATATTGTACGATGTAAATAATTATCTTTATCGCGCATATATTTTCGCGCAGTACCAATTATCATTTACGTATACTTGTGAAACGCGGTCGACTGGCAAAAACGAGTGGGTTGCGAACATCCGAGTTAACAATCGATCTCCTCGGAGAGCAAAACTGACAATATATCGTTCTGCTAACAAGTACGGGCCAACAATTTCTAAGTGCAATTTCTCCGTCGAGAATTCGCTTGACGTCCACAAAGCGAGAGGAATTGATAATGCCATAAACCAGAATGATAGAAATTAGTATAAAACTGCATTTCTGTATTCTTTCGATGCAGGAAGTTGTGTTATATATAATATTGCGTAATTTTTTCAATAGTGGTAGTTCCATTTTCACATCTATACTGTGACAATATTAAATAGAGGTAGACATATGATGCACGTGTTGCTCTTGTCAATGTGCATGGCGCGTGTGTATGTGAGATGTAAAAACTATTTTACTTTCATAGTATCTAAGCGCGGATTTAAGTACACACTCGGAAGAAAAAGTACAGATGTTTGTATCCAGATGCGGTTCGCATCACTCCTCATAACGTGTGGTGACCATCGTGTTTCCGCCTCGTTCCGGACATCTTGGCTTCGTGTAGCGCATTTTGCAGACGCTCTCTTCTTCTCTCTTCCTCTCCTCGTTTTCTCGCTCTTCGTTTATCAGCGGTGGCAGTAGCGGGATGTTGTCGTATACGGCGGATTGAATGAGCGAATTAAACTTTCATTGCACGATGTGGTCCCCGCAAGGGACATCGTCTTCGTCCCTTCGTTCTCTCGCGGTCCACTCCTCTCCCGTGTCTTATTATCTTGATTTGCGAGCTTCTCCTTCGCCGTTTCCGGTGTAATGCTCTCCTTGTCTCCCTTCGTTTCTATTATTGCTTATATTTTGCGCGCTCATCTCTTCACGATCTCTTGTTGTTTCAGCATTTTCTCGCGTTTTTGTTCCCATTGCATTTTGGTATTGTTCGCCGCATACCGTGAAATTGCCGATTACAACTGTCATTGAGATACTCTCTTTTGTGTATTGTGATTGTGATTGCGTAATTACGTCCATTAGATATAAAAGAATTATTCTCATCGCATTTATGTGAGTTTATAGAGAACATTACAAGTAAAAATCTAATGCAAATAAAAAGAAAAAATATATAATATTAGGAACGTTTGTAAAAAAGTTCAGAATCACAAATATAAATTTTAAGATAATTCGAGTAAATAAATATGAAGATAAAAATAAAGTTAAATAAATTGAGTAAAAAAAGCTTTTAAAATTATCGATATATTTTGATGTCAGAGACCAAAGAGATTATTATATATCGAAAGGGTAAAGAATCTAATTGATTGTATCATCTTGTAGTGAGAGATAATCGCTCTCGATAATCGTCTATGACAAAGCTCTCAATTCCACGTTTATATTTTTCTAAGCGATAGAGTGTAATGAGGTGTAAGATATTAAGATATTGGACAACCAAAAACTCTATCTCGTTTCCTGATTCAGCCATTGTGGCTCTATTCGGGGAATAAGATGCTTGGTGCGGTCGATACGATTCTGATGGCATCGTTGAAAGCTCGAAGAGGAAGTTTCGTCGAGAAAACTGAAGCTCGACATAGTTGCAATTTTGAAGGCAATATTCGTAAAATTTCCTTCTCACATATGTAATTTTCTCTCCTCCCTTTTCACATTCTTCTGCTTCTCAGATAGAGAATTCTATTTCCATTCGGAACTTCGCATTTACATCTCATAATGTGCTACTTGCGCGCACTTTATCCGCGATAAGTTAAAATAGCATTATCACTCCGCGGTGAATTATATTTCACTTTACCGTCAACTTATTCAGAAGTAAATCTGTAGAAATTTCATAAGAAAAGAAGTGTTTTACTTATTATTTATTTTTACACCTTTTTTAATATACAGAATAGATCTATCTCTCTCTCTCTCTCTCTCACATAAGAGATCATTTTTATTTTTAAGATGTAATTATATTTTAAAGATTAGAAGAAAGGCAAGTGACGTCTTCTTTTCTAACAAGAATTCGGATCCCGCAATTTACACGTTCTAGTCAAATTTGACAAAAAATCCGTGGGTCGATTCCTAACGGATCTTAAAGATCTATAAATATTTCCCTTTCCATTTATATCTCGTAATTTGCTACCGCAGAGCATCTTTGCCGCGTTGTAGGGGATCCAAACGATCATCATCTTCACGGCATTTCTAGGGAAATAACAGTCCGTTGACTTTGTCCCAGTTTGTATCTCCGTTCTCCGATTCCCTCGCGATCCTTCGCGTTTCTCCCATCCGTCGCTCTTTCGCCCTCAGTCTCGTTATCCCCCGTTATCCCCACTATCTGTCTCCTTGTCTCTCTCTTCGTTCCTCTCCGTTCGTTCTGGCGTCGTCGACGGAGGACGGACGGACGGCCGTACCGAACGAGGACCAGCGCAGGCAGACTGCGAACGTCAGAGTGCCCTCCGACTTCGTCGCGCACACATCCCTTCTGGATCGCGACTATCGCGCATACCTACGTTTTACGAATCGCGTTTCACGTTTAAATTATACATTACCGCGAAAACAACGTGGAGCATTTGTGACGCCGGTGAATACCGGTATACTTGTGATTTTGTGCGAGTCCTGTCCGTGAGGAAGGGAAGTTCGCTCGCTCGCAGTCACGAGGAACGAAACGGAAATTGAAAACGACGGTGCAATCCGGTGAAGATACCGTGAGAGAAACTGAACTTCATTTCGCGCGGAATTGCGGAATCCGCCTTCAACCTCTCTCGATTACATCAGCACGGAATTTCTGTCCGTTTCCCCGAGAATTATCTCCGAAGATCTGTCCGTCTGGCGGAAACATCCAGTCCGATTATCGAAGATTTTACTACCAAGAGAAAATCAAGATACTCTCTGGAAGATTATATTCCAAGAAATATTATCTGCGAGCAAATCTCCATGCGATCCTTTAGACGTTTCGGAGCGATCATTATATGTTAACAACAGCGACATTAATATAATCATTCGATACGGATCTACTGTAAAATAACGACTTATTTTGCGGTAAAATAAAAAACAGGAGTTTCAAGTGTACTATCGATAAATCATCCCCGTCGATCTAGGATGGATATCTGGAAGAAGCGACACTCGTAAAACTTTCGATATTGCCGCGCTCTTTCAAGCGTGTACTACTCCAATTTTTGTTGGAAATCGTGGGAGAAAACTGGAGACGGTGGAATATTGCGAGAGATCAAGCACGATGCGCTGAAGAAGCATCGATCATCGCGGGCCAAAAGCGGGGCGGCCTAAGGGCGCTGGATGTTCAATTAAATCGTTTCAGCATCGAAAATTGGATAGATGAGCAGATAGTGATAGTAACGAGTAGAGTATAAATCGAGAGAGTAAGAGAGAAAGATAGCTGGACAGAGTCGCGTGATTCGGTCAACTTAAAGCGACAAATATCGCCATGCTGTTGCAGAAGAAAATAATAATAATAAAAAATCTTAAAAGTAATATATTCGTGAGAGGAAGATACCTCGATCGGTTTAGAACGTAATTTAAAAAGGTGGTATTTATGGTATGAAAAATATAAAAAGTGTGGAATATTCGTGAAAGAAGAATTCTCTTAAAGCGTATCACATGGTTAATGATAACGGTGGTACGGTTGAACAGATGTAACTGAGTTACTTGCGCGGAGAATTTACGTCATCAGAGCGGTACAAACGATATAAAAGTTGGAATTTTAACGTCCGCGCTGCAAAGGCTGCTATATTAATTGCCTGTCGTAATTGGGGTTTGTAGGGATCGCGCTTAATTAGTTCGGGGTCTCTAACGGGTGAACGATGAAGTGGTGCGTGCTGGTGTTGGTATTTGTCGGTCTGACTAGAGGCGATAACGGCATCGGCGCGAACACAGTCCTCAAATGCCCGGACCTCAATGCTCAAGACGAGATAGATCTCGAAAAGGTACGTGCGTTGTCTTTATCATCGTTCGCTATCACTTTATTCTACACATATACACACACATACACACATGCATGTATAAATAACAATGTTTCTATATAGAAGTATGTTTATAGAAAGTTTCTAATATATGTATATTTTGTTGTTGTTTTTTTTTTCTAGTATATTATATATAATTATAGCTTTTTTATTTTTCTATACATCGGTTAATAAATCTAACTAAAACTCAATTCTTATCTTGATATGTTGCTCTTGAGAATGTTTAGAGAATATATAATTGTTTGTTTATAATTTAAAGATCGTGCGTTTGAAATATAATGGCAATTACGAGAGAAAGATCTGTATATTAATTATATATAATTAAAGCATTTTATTCTCTCTTCTATTTGTTATCATTTGTTATAAATTTAACTTTTATATCAGGTATATAATTCTTGAAAATATGAGGAAATATATTTGATAGCCGTGCATTTGAAAAGAATAATTATAAAAGATTTGTAACTTCTGTGACATATAACGCATCTAGATTTTTTTACCGATACTTAAGATGTGATGTTTGGATAAAACGTCTATATAAGCAAGAGGATAATATATCAGGCTTTTAATATGTTTCCCGTCACAAGCATTATCCGTGATGCTCGCCGATAATTCACTGGCGTGTCATAAGCATCATTCGTGGCTGCTCGGCATACATTTGTCTTAATACAACTTTCGGCAATTTTGCATTTCGAGAAGAAGAATGCTCTTCATTATACAAATGCGCCATTAACTTCCGCGTAAATATATGTCAACATAATTTTCAGCATTCTGCCGCGTAGCATTGTGATTATTATTTCATGTTAATTAATTATTTCATTTAATTTTCTCCGCATTTAATAAAGATAAACTTTATCAATATTATAAATGGTCGCCAATTTTCTCTAACATAACATAACGCTTGTTTAATATACCAATAAACGCATTATAAATGAGTCTAAAATATTTATAAACTATATTGATTTTGTCCGATGCACGAGGGGCACGGCTTAAAACACGCAATGAAAATTATGAAAAAGATAAGTTTTTTAATTATCGGTATTTTCAGAAAACTCGAAACTCGAAATGACAGATCTCAATAAGTCAAATACATCGACTCGGATATAGCGGATATGGCGAGCTCGTCGTTGATAAATTAGTGATATTAATAATATGACAGTATCATTTTTAAAATCGTATCTATCAAAGTTTATGAATAAAAGATAATAGGCACAGGAAGAAAGAAAAATATTATAACGAAGAAAGCTCGTTAGTTTAGTGATATTTAGTCTGAAACTCGAGTCTCTGTGTTACGCTCAAATGTAAACGGAACTTCACTCAATTTCCTTTTTACTTTTTTCGATCGACTCGGTTTTTAATTTATTAAATGTGTATTCCGAAGCTATTTAAACAAGCTTGGTACACATCAATTTTATTTCTACGTGCGCGATGTACATGCTCCGTTCTATATATGCATATGTGTGTGTGTGTGTGTGTGTGTGTGTGTGTGTGTGTGTCCGTGCAACATGACGCGTTCATTGATCAAACTAGGTTTAACGACGCTGTGTGTCATGGTCTCAAAAATCAGGTCAACCGGTTCTTTCTTACCAAAGAACTGCCAAAATTTAATTCGCCGGATAATGGACGTATGCGAATTTGCATTTTAGTACATGAACGGCCACTTCCAATTTGTATGACGTAAAAAACGATTATACAAGCAATTACATGGACCAAAATACAAACGTCACTAATACAGATCTAGATAATTTTAATGGATATAGCAGTATTTTTTCTTTTCCTTCTTTTTTTTTCTTTTTTCTTTTTTTAATAAGTAGAGGATGTAACTGTACACAAGTATTACAATTGGACCTACAATCGTTATGGACGAATCGCGTAATGGTTCGCAGTTGGGCGCAGCTTAAAGTATCGTTAATTCAAAACAATTACGAGGTTCCTGGCACGCTGCCTCTACGAAGTTGTTGAGCCGCTCCAGCTTATATAGTTACATACGGAGTGCATTAAGTGCGGGTCATAATTTAAATGGTCGCGTCCAAGACTCGTAATTCCAATCCCACGAGGTTAGCTACGTAATTAATGGATCACTTTTTCCTGCGCGCATAACTTTCCATCATATGTAGCGGTAAAGTACCACCTGTGCATAACGCTATAAAAATTGTTGAATTGTTTTAAATAAAGCCATAAATATTCTCTAGGGAAGAATCATACTAAAGATTAATCCAAATAGGTTTCACAACGAATTAAAATATTTAAATACGTATATTCAAATTACTTCAGTATCGAATTTTTTATATTGTATCACTTATACTGTACAATATATATAATTCAATACTGTTTTATAATATTGCAATGTATATTGATTTATCAACATATGTGAATGTTATCAAAGTTATGTCGGCATAGAGTTTCACGCAGGGTGCATTAAGTGGTCGTTATGAATTAAATCGACGTGTTCAAGACCCGTTATTTCAATGGAACAAGGTTACTCATACGCTGACGTATGCTATACTTGCTAAGTATACATTAGTGGCGATCGATAATCCTAAAATATCATTAAATATTTGTCTAAGAAAAATTGTCGTAATTTTAGCTAACAATATTTCCTGAATTCTTTATCGCTTTTAAGTTTATAAAATCTTATAATGTTAAAAATATCTATTGTGCAGATTACTTTAAAAACTTTAAATCGTTAAGCGTATGTTTATATCACAAACTTTAATATAAAGTTATTCTTATAATGTACAGTTTTAATGAGTTAAAACTTTATTTTCTCAATTATTATCAATACCACGCGACAAAGTTAGTTGCTGACGACCAGTTTCCTTGAAAGTTTGTATACCGAGATTCTGTAGCAAGATATTAAATTAATTATTTCTTTATTATTATTTTCTTCCCGGGCTTAAATTGTTAGGAATGCTTTGACATAGTTGGGCAATATTTTTATTTGTAAGAAACAGAAGAATATATAAGAGTGAAAATATAGTCTTTCATGAATTTAATCAGATTAAAACTCGTATGTAAAAAATAATCTCTACGTACATGTCTTGTTTCAAAAAATATAAATTGTTCATGTAAAATTGCAGTATTTTTTAAATCGTAATTTTTATTTTTCCTACACTGATTATTTCAACGCGAATATCGTGTTATATTATAAAATTCCAAATAAACATGAATTTATCGGAAGGTTTCGATTTTGTAATTTTATTCTCTTTCATCTCTTTTATAGGTATAAATTTAAAAAAAAAAAATCTTGATGCGTATTGCAAAGATATATTGTCACCGTTCTTAAAAACGGAACCATAACAAAATTTTTCTTCATATATTTCATAAACTATCTCGTTCCTTCGTTTCAATGACGCTGAGTTAACGTCTGAAAGACCACCCTTTCTCGTAGCTTTTCCCATATCCCCTGCACGAACTGGATTTACGCTACATTATTATCAAAGGCTCCTATCGTATGGCTAGTTCTAGACGTTTCTCTTTTCTTCATCTTTCAATAGGACTCCTATGAGCTGCGTTCTACAATCGTGCAATGAGTCAGAGGAAAAAATCCGTCTTATCTACGATCTATAAGAATAGAAAGTGGCGATGAAAATAATATCTGTATGTGAAAAGTGCAGAAGCATAAAGATCTAAAAAAATATCTTCGCGAGAAAAACCCCAAATATAATCGGATACATATCGTATTTTACAGCCGAATACATTACATTTTTTAATTTTTTCAATATTAAACACAGAATGAGAGAACTGATTTGATTATATATCCAAATGTTTTAGATTCCAGATACATTCTCAAAGAACGTACATCAATTCCCGAATTTACACATACTTATAATTTGCACCCCATAACTAATTAACTTTAAATAATATATCTACATTACTATATCGAAAAAAAAAAATTTATTATTACCTTGCAAAAAAAAAAAAAAAAAAAAACGCTTAATGACCACAATTTTTGAAACCAACAATTTGCTATTCGCATTTGTGTACTCGTGCCCACATTTCGGCTGTTGCTCTAGAAATACCGTATAATAAACTGTTCCTGCAAATGGCCCGCCTGTGACGTGTCGAGAGCGAACGTAACTGCAAACTGCATCTGCGGCGCTTTCATTTGCGACCGCGTCGTAACCGCGTCTGCACAGCGAAATCGCAGCAGCCACGTCGCGTCGGCGGCAACGACGGTAGGCGTTATCTTGCTCTAGTGAGAGAAAAATAAGAAAAAAAAAAGAAAGTAAAAAAATAGGAAACTTTTCTCCGCGCTTTTCCGTTGAAAAGGCTTTCGGTGTAAGTTTTCGCGGCAGACAATAAACCACGGCCATTTCTCATTGTGCCGTTGTGCGTACGGCGCATTGAGAGAGAGAGGTATTCACCGACGACATCGAAATTTATTTGCGGAATTATTCCTTAAACTTTTCGTACCGGTAATTTGCATGGTTTAGAATTTATTGTACATGTAGCAGGTGTTTGCATTATATGCGCAGCAAATTGAGATGTTATTAAACAACAATTATTAAAACACGCGCTTTAATTTATAAAAACACAGCCCCAGCTTAATCTAAAAAATTTAACCTTGTAGCCTATGGTTCTAAATAAAATGCATACCGATAAAAAATTTCTACAGTATCGAGTGTTTTATTAATTAATCTTTAATTTATCGATTTGTATTAATTTCACACTGATTATTTTATTGACATGATTTTGAAATCTTGTTTCTAAAATAATTTTGAGTCTAAAATGTGATGACTAATAGACACATGTCAGTACGCGGATTAGTGTATGCGCGTGTTGATAACTGATGTGCAAATATCGTGACATATATCAGATAATATATGTCTCGCATAGAATGGACATAATTGTCACACCGTGCCATTTATTTATCTTGTCATTCTCAAAGAGTTCCGTATCTTTATACGTTCCATTTTCGTCGTGATTAATCTCCCCTTTACATGTTTCCATGTTTGCGTACAAAA